TTTTAGTGCCTGCTAGAGAGGTGGTACTATCCTGGGGAGAAAAAAGTACACATTTTGATTGGCTGGGCGAATTGCAAGCCACGCCCCGTAAAACTCTGAAAAGTTTTGTGAAGCCGCCATTGTATTTGCTGGCATTTGCATTATTGGCATTAGCATTAGCCCCACGCACCAACGGAGAGAGAATTACTTATGGCAACACAACAAAAAACATGGGAGCGGTGGAGTGATGAGGAGGTGTCGGCGTTCTGGCGATTTACTCGGAAGGCTTCAGTAGAAGCTGCTGGGAGTCCCAGCAGCTTCTACTGAAGCCAGTCCCCAACTCCGGGGACTTCCAGCCGGGAACTTCGGGTGGCAGTATACGCCGTGAAGTGGTTTGCGGCCTGCCAGTAAACCCAAAGCAGAAGAAGAAGAAGTGACATCAGCGGCTTCATTTGCGTAATCTTCCCTCAGGGAACTTATTCTGGTGTGAACGCGATCTGTACTTAGTTCCATGGGGTGCTAGCACTAAGTGCTGGCACTAAAGCCCCGGCCACACGAGGACGATAACGCAAACGGACCGCAATCGTTATCAAAAAAGTCTTCCGTCCACACGCAACAGGCACCAGAAACGTGTCCGTTCACTCGAGACCGCTCGAAAGCGCTGGAGACGCTGTAGTACATATGCCAGGCCTGTAAGTGGCGCTGTAGTCCTGCCACAAAAGCAGTGAAGAAGACTTCCCGCGCATGGTTGCCATGGTTGCCCTTCTGTTTATTCTCCGCTGTGGACGCTCTGGCTCTTTTTCTCCCTCCCCGAGGCAAGCGTTTGCTCCTGCTGTAGATCTCTCCGGTAATCCACCAGCAGATGACAAACACCCACCTCTCCGCCTCTTCCAAGGGACGAGGGGACCGTGCGGCAGAGTTTCAGTTAGATTTTTTTTTGCCGGTCAACATGTCCGTTAAAGTTTAAATCTTCCGGACAAAATTAGAAAAGTGCCGGTCAAAGGTCTTCTTTGTTATGTATTGAGCTTTAAAACAAATGAATAACGACTCTATATAATAATATAATAATAAAAAACGGAGCCTCTCTTTTCCTCCCCCCCTCTTCTGACAGCCCAGCAGCTGATCTCTGAGCAGGAGAGGTGGGGAGAGACGGGGCTATTGCTTCAACGTTATCAGGAAATGATCATATAGGCGTAAACACGGAGCCGTTCGCCCCCCCAGAGCGTTTAGTTTGCAGATCTACCCACCTTGGGACCCGTTATTGTTTTCTGTGTTTCCATGTCGGCCTTGTGTGGCCGAACCGAGTGAACTGTAGCAGATACGACCGATATCGTCCTCGTGTGGCCGGGGCTTAAGTTCTTTCTCTTTCATAGTTTTTACAAAATTGACTGATTTTATAGATGATTGCTTTTCCTACAGTATATAATATAGTTTGCAATTTATTTAGTTTCATCCCAAGTTTTTAAACTTTTGTTACAATTACTGGTTACCTTTATAAAAAAGAGTAATTTATAACCAAATCTGAGTATTATAATATACAAATAATGTAACTTGATTACTTTCATTTACTTTGGATTACCTTAATATCAAATGCAAAGCAAAAGATGCAGAGAGAAAATAAATAGCAATGCTTTGGTGTATTAGGTAAGACAACACAACAATGTAAACTTAAAAAAAGAAGAAACTAAGAGTCCCTCAGATATTTAGAATCAAAAATATGTCCTCAGCTCAGCAATTTAAAAAATATGAAAAACATGCCTTTCAATAGGCATATTTGGGTAGTATATTCACCAACAGTGAAACTACTTTAAGAACATATAGGTTCTTCATTTTCATGTATTGTAACATTGTAATGCTGTTTAGAAATGTAACAGTAATCTGATTACATTTTTTTTTTCAGTTACTGTAAGGGAATACAGCTACTCTTTTTTGTATCCTGATTATGTAATCCCGTGACATGTAATCTGTTATTATGGATTAGCCTGGTGGTGAACTGATTTAAGGTCATTGACTCTTAATAGGCATTTTCTTCAATAGGAAATCATTTTAGGTGTAATACATTAATAAAATGGCCATGTTATTGATTTTTTGCAGAAAATCACTCTTGAATAATCCAAATTTCTACAAACAAACCAGAAAAATCGATGATTTAGATCAATTCAAACAGGCCATTATTAGTGGCACTGTGCCAAATGTATTGCACCAGTGCTGTGCAAAAAGCCATACTCCCAACTGACTATCTTTTCCTGGTTTGTATTTGGATAGTGTCTGTATTCATTATGTTGCTGCTCCAGTACGTTTGTAACTGCCTGTAAGCCTCCATATTGTCTCACAATAGCAATTTGGCGACTGACGCCACAGCATGCATAAAGCTAGCAGGAAATAGTCTGAGACCTACAGTAAATTGTGAATTTCAGTTTTAATTAATAATCACGAAGCTGGCAAATGTAAAACGTTTCCTTCCTTCCTTCCATGCTGAATCTCTGCCCCCCCCCCCCCCCCCCCTGCTTTGTTTGTGATATCTGTTTCCTGTTTTGCTGCAGAGTTCATCAAGACATCTATCATGAGACACACGTCTGCACACACAGTAACATGCATGGACAGAAATACACTCACATCTGTCTTACTTTAGATGGCAGAGTACTATTTGGACTTGCAAGTGGTGTCAGTTTTTATTTGCTCCAGTAGAGGTGAATGAAAGTTGTTCTGTAGGGCTCAATGTATTTCGAAACATAACGTTTAAAAAACCCAGCAACGACATTTATATTTTAAAATCATCGTCTTAGTTATACGGCGGAATCAACAGTCGTAAGAGAATATTTATTTGGAAGTCATTTTCCTATCCTATGGAGATAGAAGCGGCTGTCAAGTTGTTTTATAAAGTTTAGGTCACCCCAACAAAACTATGTTTGCCTGAAAAATATTTGGACAACAGCAGAAGTCTCAGAACCTCCAGAGATAAAACAGAAGCTATCTGCATTACTGGATATCAGGAAAGGTTCTGTTTGTCTTCTAAGAGTTATTTTAATTTACATCTTATTTGCACTACATAATGCATATTGTATGAAACGTAAAACAGCTCCTTTTTCAGTCAACAAAACAAGGAGACTACCTGAAACGGATAATTATTTTTCCCAGTATCTGCTCTTGCATGCTGAAAGATTTATTTATTTATTTAGGGCAACTTTGTTGAGGTCAAGGAAAGAGAACTTTCTTCGTTGAATTTTAAGAAGTCAAGTTAAATTCAAGTGTTGACATTTTTGATAAGTGACCAATACAATTACCTAGGACATAACAACCTGTGTGTTGTACTGTACATCCAACAATCCATTTCAACTACCTAGTTTATTTTCCTTCACCCCGAATAAAGGACATGGGTTTGTTAAATATCTGGGTTGCTAAATTGTATTAAAGGTCCCATGTCATGGCCATTTCTACTGATCATAATTCCATTGTTGAGGTCTACTAGAATAGATTTACATTGTGCAATTTTCCAAACTCACATTGGTTTCTCATACAGCATCTCTGTATAGTATGTGTAGTCACTCTCTGTCCTAAACGGCTTGTGGGAGCTCCTGCCCCCCCCCCCTCCCTGTGAGCCCAGTGTGCTCTGATTGGTCAGCTCGCCCACTCTGTTCTGATGAGTCCACCAGCGTTTCAGTGGAACATCAGTGATTATGTGTTACAATGGCGTGTGTTAGCAACCAGAAAATGACACGAGTAATGACAAACAGAAGAGAATGCTGCGTGGGGTCTGGGTGCCGTGTTGGCGGGACGTTGCGCGGCTCGCTGCTGTGAGGAGCGGACAGTGTGAGCTGGGTTCATTTCCTGGTTGCTGCGTGGGGTCTGCGAGACAGCGAGGCATCGCAAATGGACGCGGGAAGGGGGCTGCAGCACCCCCATCTGCGAGACTCCACTCGCACCCGCACCCCCAAACCTATAGTGTAAGCGCGCCACAGTTTTGCCGCTGCGAGGCTCCACTAGCACCCCCCCCCCAGCGCGTCATAGTTTCGCAGCTGAGAGAGTGTGTGTGTGAGGAGCTCCACGGATTGGTCCATTTGGACCAATGGGTCCATTTGGGTATGGTCACGTGACCATACCCAGGAAGAAAAAAATGGAAAAAGAAAAATCTCCAACGAGGCGTTTTGGGGCAGCATAGACAGGTCTTTTCTGTGTTAGAGTTTTACTCGCTACAGGGTGTACTTTGAGGGTTTTTGACTCTGCAGACCGTTTACATGCATAAAAAGCTACATGACACAAGGGGACGAGTAATAACCGGAAAAGCATGACATGGGACCTTTAAAGTTGTAAATAACTTTTCCTGAACATTGTAAAATAGTAAAATTCTTCTCTTATCCAAGTTTTTAAATCAAATCTGAGAAATACAGTGTGAGCTGCCTAAAAGAGGTAAACACAGTCATTGTTTATGGCCAACAGCACAAAGCCGCAAGTTTGGCGTTTTTTCACAGACTCGGGAAGTTTAAACCAGAAAATACAAATGTTACCAACCCAAATCAAATATCTTTGATGTACTGAATAGTTTGGTAAGGTTTAAGTTCTAATATTTAGTTTGAAGTAAAAAACAAAACACAAATCCCAACCATCCAGGAAAGCATACTGGTAGCAGCCTGTCAATCACAAAATGTTGACGCTCTTAAGAATACGCTGCTCTATCATTTATTTGTGGGAACATGACTTACAAAATGAATCATGCTGTTCTGAAGAAAACTTGAACCTAACATTTGAGACTGTATACTTAATATAAATGTTTTAATTAAGTAATAACTCAAGTAAAATATTTGTTTCATATACTTCTATACAATTTGATCCCCGGCTAAAAGATAGAATGCAAGTTTAAAACACATCCGCATTGGCTTCACTTTCCAGAACCCCATACTACAAACCTAAGGACTATTTTTATACATTTTGGAAAGTATTCTCATTGAAATAACCACAATCAGATTTTTCTCATTCAATACATTCTTATAATAACCTCCATCCTTCCTCCCGATGTCTTTCAGGTTATGCTCCAGTCACAGGCATGTGCCACCCAGTCCGGAGCTGCACCCTCAACCATGAAGACGGCTTCTCCTCTGCCTTTGTTGTGGCTCACGAGACCGGACATGTGTAAGTTCAAGGTTCAAGGTTCAAGGTTCTTTATTGTCAATCTGACATAGCTACAGAGTAATTATGCAGTTGAAAATCTTATGTCACAGGCTTCTCCAACAATGCAACATAATAACATAACATAATAACAATAAGAGCAAGAGCAATACAAAAATAATAATAGTTATAAAAATGAAATAAAGTTATGATGTGGAATAGTGCAGTATGAGTCTATATACAAGTTATTGGAATGATATATATATATTAGGTATTAGATACATACTACTGAGTAGCAGTTGAATGTTTGAAGTTGTTTCAACAGTTCAATTTTTTAACAGTCTCACTGCCCGCGGGAAGAAACTGTCTCCGAATCTTCTTGTCCTTGCCAGGATGCTGCGGTAACGTCTGCCAGACGGCAACAGAAAGAACAGTTTGTGGCTGGGGTGATGGGGGTCTTTGATAATCCGTAGTGATTTCTTCCTGAGCCGCTGGGAGTAAAGGTCCTCCATGGATGGCAGCTCCGTCCTGGTGATGTGCTGTGCAGTTTTCACCACCCTCTGTAAAGCCTTACGATCGAGGTCGGTGCAGCTGCCGTACCAGGCCGTCATGCTGCCAGTGAGGATACTCTCTATCGTGCACCTGTAGAAGTTGCAGAGTATCCTGGAATCCATTTTGAACCTCCTCAACCTGCGGAGGAAGAAGAGCCGCTGTCGAGCTTTCTTGGTGATGGTGGTGGTGTGAAGAGACCATGTCAGGTCCTCAGTGATGTGGACCCCAAGGAACCTGAAGCTTTTGACTCTCTCCACCGTAGTCCCATTGATGGCGATGGGGGCGTGTCCCTCTCCCTGCTGCTTCCTGTAGTCCACAATCCAACACACTCTCACTCCCTAAGCGTCCAGGAGCGACGCTTGGTCAGGGTCCCGTGGCGTCCAGTTGTGACGCGCCGAGGCTCCTTCAGCTTCATAAACGGACGCAAAGAGCTTTCAACTGATTGCAATGTATTCCCATCGGCGGCGGTATTTGACGCTTAGGGAAGCACCGCATTCGTTTGTGTCGGAGGCTGTTAAAGGCAATGTGAGCGTCCATTCCCATTGGATAACGGAGAATTGTACACCCGGAAGTAAGTATTCCCCTTACTGTCGATTGATTTGACAGTGATATCTCCACTACTCATCAACTCAAAAACACCAGATTATCCTTGTTATTTAAACGACTTTGATAGGTTTTAGTGTGTGTACAATGCTTTTGTCACGTTTTCCCCTTCAATTCTGAGAAACATGTCGTTATCTATGAGTTTTGGATGGCCGAAGACAATCCTCTGTAGCAACCATAGACTGTATAAAACAATTAAATAATACATTATTCCGAGTGTGCTTGCTTTTCTCTTTGAAAGTCATCACATAACGGCATTGTAATACACGTTTCGGCTGCATTAAATATGACATATCTGCCGTAGTTAACTCTATTTATAGAGCCCTGATGACAAGACTTCTAGACAAACAGGAACTGCCGCCAAAACTGAAAACTTGACGTGGATCTTAAATATATAAGCAATTAAACAACATCTTACATTTCTTTTCACACAATACGTCTCCTTGCAGTATCAACACTAATTCGGCTGACTTTTATATTTGATCCAATTGGTAGATAGGCTGTATTTACACCATAACGGTGCACAGCTGATAGAAAGGGACACCTACTGGTTAAAGCACGTTATTGCATTTTATAATTTTATTATTAGATATTAATAGGAGGATGTGCAAAACAGACAAACTAATAAGGCTTTATTTAAACATTAAAGAATACTTTAGGTTAAGGTCTTCTTTTGAATAAGAAAAAAGCTTTGGGGGTATAGAAGATGAATATGGAGGGATGAAACCCTCTTTGATGGTCACACATGCAGAGCACACAGCACACACAGTGAAATTTGTATCTACAGATAAATATTAAGCCTGACAAAGTACTTAACGTCTAATATATTACTTTCCTGCAATGTTAACTATGTTTAAGCACTTATTTTAACTGATATTATACATATGTATTATACTCTTATAAGATGTATGTAGATAGTATAAGAAATGTGCAGAATATGACAGTTTAATGGTGGAGGTATACACACATATTGATAGATGTCTTGTAATGCACTGTTGAGGAACCTGCGACCCAAGTTTTTCATTCATTGCATAACAACACCGTAGTTGTGTATATGATGTCAATAAACCTTAGAAAATCGTGAAATCTTGAATGGGATGTGCAAAATAGTCATTATATACAGTCTTTAATTAACTATTAGTAGAGAATAACGACGAGTAAACAATATACTTTATAGGGATCCTATTCATATCTAATAATAAAATTATAAAATGCAATAACGTGCTTTAACCAGTAGGTGTCCCTTTCTATCAGCTGTGCACCGTTATGGCGTAAATACAGCCTATCTACCAATTGGATCAAATATAAAAGACAGCCGAATTAGTGTTGATACTGCAAGGAGACGTATTGTGTGAAAAGAAATGTAAGATGTTGTTTAATTGCTTATATATTTAAGATCCACGTCAAGTTTTCAGTTTTGGCGGCAGTTCCTGTTTGTCTAGAAGTCTTGTCATCAGGGCTCTATAAATAGAGTTAACTACGGCAGATATGTCATATTTAATTCAGCCGAAACATGTATTACAATGCCGTTATGTGATGACTTTCAAAGAGAAAAGCAAGCACACTCGGAATAATGTATTATTTAATTGTTTTATACAGTCTATGGTTGCTACAGAGGATTGTGGGTAATGTAATGTCTTCGGCCATCCAAAACTCATAGAAAACGACTTGTTTCTCAGAATTGAAGGGGAAAACGTGACAAAAGCATTGTACACACACTAAAACCTATCAAAGTCGTTTAATTAACAAGGATAATCTGGTGTTTTTGAGTTGATGAGTAGTGGAGATATCACTGTCAAATCAATCGACAGTAAGGGGAATACTTACTTCCGGGTGTACAATTCTCCGTTATCCAATGGGAATGGACGCTCACATTGCCTTTAACAGCCTCCGACACAAACGAATGCGGTGCTTCCCTAAGCGTCAAATACCGCCGCCGATGGGAATACATTGCAATCAGTTGAAAGCTCTTTGCGTCCGTTTATGAAGCTGAAGGAGCCTCGGCGCGTCACAACTGGACGCCACGGGACCCTGACCAAGCGTCGCTCCTGGACGCTTAGGGAGTGAGAGTGTGTTGCACAATCAGCTCCTTTGTTTTGCTGATGTTGAGATGGAGGTTGTTCTCCTGGCACCAAGATGTCAGGTTTTCGACCTCCTCTCTGTACGCCGTCTCGTCATCGTCTGTGATCTGGCCGATGACGGTCGTGTCATCAGCAAACTTCACGATGGTGTTGGAGCTGTGTGTGGCCACGCAGTCGTGGGTGAACAGGGAGTAGAGGAGAGGGCTGAGCACGCAGCCTTGAGGGGCACCGGTGTTGAGAATCAGGGTGGAGGATGTGATATTTCCCACCCGCACTGCCTGGGGTCTGCCCGTCAGGAAGTTCAGGATCCAGTCACAGAGGGCGCTGTTGAGCCCGAGGTCTCTGAGCTTGATGGCCAGCTTGGAGGGCACAATGGTGTTGAATGCTGAACTGTAGTCAATGAACAGCATTCTCACATATGTGTTCCTGTTCTTCGGGTCCAGGTGTGAGAGGGCAGTGTGGAGGGTGAGGGCTATGGCGTCGTCTGTGGACCTGTTTGCTCTGTAGGCAAACTGCAGGGGGTCCAGAGATTCAGGGAGGGAGGAGGTGATGAATAATTTGACTAACCGCTCAAAGCACTTCATTATGATGGAGGTGAGTGCTACTGGGCGGTAGTCGTTGGGGCAGGTGATGATTGTCTTTTTGGGGACAGGAATGATGGTGGAGTGTTTAAGACATGTGGGGACTACAGACTGCAGCAGGGACCTGTTGAAGATGTCTGTGAACACCTCTGCCAGCTGAACTGCACACACCCTGAGAACACGGCCAGGGATGCCATCAGGTCCAGGAGCCTTGTGTGGGTTAACCCTTTTAAAGGATTTACACACATCTGCCCTATTTAAAACAAAAGGGCAGTGTAGCTCCTGGTCCCTCTGTACCTCCACAGCCTGGCTGCTCTCAAAGCGTGCAAAAAAACTGTTTAGCTCATCTGGGAGAGATGCGCACGCAGACACTCCCGCAGCACCCCCCGCTGCTCCTTTGTAGTCAGTCATTGTCCTTAGTCCCGCCCACATATTCCTAGTGTTACAGCCTTTGAAGTCAGATTCCACCTTGTCTTTGTACTGTCTCTTTGCATTTTTTATTGCTCTCCGGAGATCATACCTAGACTTCCTGTACTCCTCCAAATCTCCCGCTGTGTGCGCGAGAGTGCGCGCTTTCAGTTTGCCGCGCACCTCACCGTTTACCCAGGGCTTTTGATTTGGGAATGTCCGTACAGAAACCTTCGGTACCACGTCATCGATGCATTTCCCAATGTAGCAGATGACAGTGTCCGTGTGTGTGTTGATGTTATTGTCCTCAAACACACTCCAATCCGTAGATGCAAAGCAATCCTGCAGTGCTGAATCTGACTCCTCGCTCCATCGTTGTACTGTCCTTGTTATCGGTCTGTCCCTTTTAAGTTTCTGCTTGTAAGCAGGCAACAACAGTAGTGAGATATGGTCTGATTTGCCGAAGGGAGGGCGAGGGAGAGCCTTATATCCATTCCGGAAAGGGGAATAAACATGGTCCAGTATGTTTCCCCCGCGCGTCGGGAAGTTGATGTGTTGGTAATATTTTGGCAAAACCTTCTTCATGTTGGCGGTGTTGAAATCTCCGGCCACAACGAACGCCGCATCTGGCCGTGAAGTCTCGGTTTTATCAATAAACCCAAACAGCTGATCGAGTGCCGTGTTGTTGTCGGCGAGTGGCTGCGGCGGGATATACACTGCTGTTATCACAACAGATGTGAATTCCCTCGGCAGATGGAAGGCCCGACATGAGATCATGAGGTGCTCTAGCTGTGCGGAA